TAATTCATTCATAAATGCAAATGGAGCTCGGGTTGCAGACTCCAACTCTACAGGTTGCTTCCTTTATTAAAACCCAAAATTCATATCTTTCTCTTTTCAAAAATGCCCTTCAGTTTTTTTAAATCTTTTATTTTGTGCTCTATTATTTATGGATATATTATGAATGGTGGTAGTTTTAGTAGTTGAAAGTAGCATAAATATAAATCTTTTTACCTGTGTAGAAGATGGCGTGATAAATTCTTTGTTTATTGCAATAACTTTTACCAAAGGTAGTTGATTAGAAGGGATTTATTATTAATGACATTTTCTAAGTCATTTATGAATATTAAAGAATATGGTTGTGGATTTCTTGATGGGTTTTTTTTTTCATGGAGTGGGAATTTAAGTGTAATTTAAAGTTGGGTGTCCAATGATTTAAAGAAGAAATGACATCAAGTGGCTGCGATTTCAAGAAAAGGGCTCTACATAGAGTTAATTCTTGAAATTTATTGTCTTTTAAGAAAGGGGACACTAAATTTGGTGGTTAGGGAAGATTTGATGAGGTTGGTTTTAATTTGAATAGTAGTTGAAGTTAGTTCTTGGCCAGTACTAGGCCATGAATATTACTCGGAGTTGTTGGGAAAAGGGAAGCATTGAGAAAGCAAAACTTACCGGGATTAAGTTCCATTTAAGGAGAGTACTTAATGGGGCTTCAGTATGCTGGTGGAGAGGCATGTACACACAGTTGCTGTCTTTCAATTAGGATATCAAGTTATGGACCCTCGATGTCACCTAATATCTAATTTCGAGAGCAATAATAAACAAAAAGGAAACTGAAAACGTAAAGTAACTCGTGGATTTATAGTGGTTCACACTCAATATGAGAACTATGTCCACTAGCTGTTATAGATTTTTCACCATAATGAAGGTGGAGATTATGAGGATTTTCTCATACCTCTCTTATGTCTAGCATATGAAAAATGGCATCCCTAAAATTCTTTCTATAGAAGAGGGTCTAGGTCGACCTACGATCGAGTGAAAAAAGTGAAGAAAATAATCATAGGCTTCACACATTACTGCATGATGAAATGTTTAAATATGAAGCCAATTAGCAACTCTATATTGGGAGTTGATGGCCATGTTTTAGTGAATTTTACTAGAGGAAAAGAGTCGGTTGATCGAAAAAAGATACTAAATATTTCCACGGATATAAACTAGCACGTAATTGATTAGCATTGAATTGAGTATGCAAGTTCTGGTTGGTGTTAAAAATATTAAGTGTTTACTCGTATAAACGTGGAGAATGTGTCAAATTTAGATATTTTAATCTTAAGTTAGTATCATTAGCGTCTAACGAATGGACTTGATCCAAAAGGTCCTACTTTACAGTGCAGAATTTGACATCCACGCCTTCAAAGAACATGCAGTTACCTTTATGTTTCCTTTTTCGTTTGTACTGTTTATCACGAACAAAATTATGTCTATACCTTTTAATGTCGATCCACCATTTGGTTTTTTGAATGTCATTTACCTTACAAGGATATAAGCTTTCAGAATTGCTAAGATTATGACCTTGCGCTTTCTAGCTCGGGCTTGACAACACGATTGAACTTCTACCCATCCAATTCATTACTCTAAAGAAAAACAACCCATTACTCTTTGACTCATGCATTACTTGTTTATATGTTATTGTTAAATATTGGGCTCCAATCACACCCAAATACCGAGCTCAATTAACTTTCAATCGACACCACAATCACAAACCAAGTCCTAAACTAAAACCCCCAAACCCGGTTGTTCCAAGGTGCCCACAAAGGGCTGAGTGTGAATGTTATTGGTAACCCCAAAAACAGCCACAAAGGCTAAGTGAAGTAGAGAAGAAGACGGCACAAAGCCAAAGGAACACTCTTTTCTCTCTAAAACACACGGCTGTCCACACATTCACACTAAACCAACACAAATAGTAACGGGTAGCTTATATAAGCCAAAGGGGTGGGCTTTAGGTTAAGGTAAGTAAGGCCCAAGTAGGTAACAATAAATGAGCGTCAACCCTAAAGCCGTCCAAAGGTAATGGGTCGGGCCATGAGTAACACTAGCACAATCAGGTTACTTCAAATGGCTAGAAGAAGTTGTAGGAATTGTTTGTTCGATTGTAATGTCGACATTTCACTTCACTCATCAGCCGAGACCTATGAAGTATAATTCAATAAACAAGTTTAATATCATCGCCCGAATTTATTGAGTATCAAAACCCAACAAATCTCCACATTGATTCACAATAAATCTGCAAGCAACCAAAACATACAGTTTATACTCGCACAATCAAAGTAACCAATAACATTGGTATCACAGACCTTACATCGTGTTTCGAACCCGAAACACATAACATACCTCCTCCATATACTCATCGGGGCTAAGATCAAGAACACCGAAGTAGAAGCAAATAATCACAGTAATCAATCAAGAGCAAATAAACATGCGACGGAGATATCGTATCTATGGTAACACATAGATCTTTTTCTAAACATGTTCACACATAACAACATATTAACACCAAGTTAATCGACATGCCAACACATATGCCATAATGCATAAATGATCCCCAAAGAAGATCTCACCACACTTATCCTATCACATTATGTGTTGCTCGCACCTCGAGAACACATATCTCACATCATCGTCCACCATGCTCACTAGACTAATCACTCAAAACACATTTCTAACTAGTAAGTCTCTATAAATCCTAAGTTCTTGGGATAATCCTCTATCACCACATCACCTCTCCCAACCTAAGTAAATAATGGGTTTCCACTTAACAGAAGTGATAGAAGTGTCTCTCTCACACTCCACCTGATCAGGGTCTCTTCACAGATAAATGATTCCAACATTTAATCACATCTTCACTCGTGATCCAAATGTCACACTCCACATCCCCGGTACAAAATCATCAATGTACCCCTAGGCATCTATACTCCACCTTACCAAAAGACATACAACACAATATGCATACAAACAATTAAACCAAATAATAAGATTACTCCAATTCATGTCAATGCACATATCAAACACATTGAAATGCAGCATATAATCATGCAACGGAATTGAGCAATCATACAAATGTAGTAACTAGGGTAACACTCAATAAGCATCACTAGGGTCATCACTCGACCCTAATGCTAAACTCGTCTCGTCTCTCAACTTACCATTCTGATTATCCTTGTTCTTCTTAGGACAGTCTCTAATAAAATGTCCAGTCTTACCACAACTGTAACACCGTCTACCACTAGCCTTGTCCAATCTTTTGCCTTTCTTCTTACCATCCTCATCACTCGAGTCACTACTCGAATCACTACTGTCTTAAGCTCTACCCAAACTCATCTGCTTAAACTTCACTCTAATCCTCATCACATGCAACTCACCATTTCTCTTATCTTCTTTTTCAGTTTTAATCTCCATCTCCTTACTCCTAAGGGAATCTATGATAATCTCGGTGTTAAAGTGTCCATACCATACTTAATTGCATTCTTAACCCCTCTATATGAATCAGGCATAGAATTCAGCAAAATGATGGCTTTATAAGTTTCAGACACCTTCTCATCACAGTTAACGATGTCTTGAACCAACTTGTTAAAAACATGATCCTTTGAAGGATCCATTTTAAAGCCAAAAAATTTTCGAGCAAGTACAGTTTATTCGGAGTAGACTTAAACAAATATAAGTTTTCCAACTTTTCTCAAAACAGTGTCGGATATGTGTAAATGATTGAAGTGTAAGCAAGTTCGTCATATTCTTCTTTTTGAGCTTCTGTTAAATTTATAGGAAATTTGTCATCTATGGCCTTTAAAACTTTTTGTTGAACCAAAACACCCTTCATCTTTTGTTGTCAAATTGAAAAGTTCACTTTCTCATTGAAAATTTCAATTTTAAAATGTGCAGACATTTTGAAAAATAGAACAACCAAAATGCACATCCACGATCTTAGATCAAGGAAATGTTCTGTGTTCTAATGGAATAGCCAATGCAACACTAAGGTATATCAACAAAAAATTCAAATTCCCACACAATGCAACACAGAAACAAATATCAACTTGCAGTTAAAACCAACACTTCAAATAGAACAATTGATTCCTAAATTTCTAGCACAAGCAATGGTTACCCCTTTACAGTAACCCAAATTCTAATGTCACCCCACAGAATGACGTGCTAATGTTGAAATTTAAACGAGATAAGCCAATTACCAGAGCGGACCTATTTGAGTCCGTAAATTTCGAGAAATATAATTTTAACACTTTAGGACCACCACTATTCGCCCTAAAGCCTCCAGCAACTGCGGTAACCAACCGAGTGATAATTGAATTACAAACGCAGGGGCAAAAACGTCCAGGTTTCACTGTATACCCTGAAATACAAAACTAACAACACAAAATCGTTGCCTGAAGGGAGTTTAACCAAGGGAAGCCCGACGCGCCGCCACAGTCCCTACGCTTGGGCTTTAAGAGCCGCCACACGCGCCATCGGGAAGTCTCACGTGCCGGCCACTCAACACCTCCTCCACCTACTCATTCCACTAGTGGTCACCGTTTTTCCAAATTCCTTATGGTTTGGTTGGAAAACTGATTTGAAGGTGCGGTTTTGGGGGAAAATTTTTGACAGTTTTCTGCTTCAGTTTCTGGTCGATTCCTGAGCTTATATGAGCCAAAAGGGTGGGCTTTAGGTTAAGGAAAGTAAGACCCAAGTAGGTAACAATAAATGGGTTGTCAACCCTAAAGCCGTCCAAGGGTAATGGTCGGGCCATGAGTAACACTGACACAATTATGTTACTTCAAATGGCCCGAAGAAGTTGTAGGAATAGTTTGTTCGATTTTGGTGTCGATATTTCACTCCACTCATCGACCGAGACCTATGAAGTATAATCCAATAAACCGGTTTAACATTTTGGCCTGATTTATTGGGTATCAAAACCCAACAGTTATAATTTATATGTATAGCATAGTTTTTAAACCTAACAGCAGGAAATAACTATGTTTAAGAATGAAAAAGTAAAAGCTAGAGAAACTTTTAGAATATCGTCTGCACTACAAGAAACGGTTGCCTCTGTTGCAGTTGCTGCCACATTCTTAGGTGCTGCTGCTACTATCCTTAGGAGAAGAATAAAATCTTCTGAAGTAACTGAGGTATGTGTAGAGGCTCAAAGAAATCTGTACTTTTTTTTTTTGAGAAACAATGTTTAGCGCTGTAAATGTCCTAGATTTCTGTGCTATGTTAAGGAGTTTGTGTTGTGAGAGACAAAAACTGAAGGTGTAGATCTTCACTGTGAACTTCTGGAAATTCAAGAACAGTCTGTGCTGTTTTGCTTTCGACTCAGACTCAATGATTGGCAGGTTCCTAAAAAAGCCTGGGAAGACCGTGAAAAATCGGGTATTTGTTCTGAATGCAATGGTGAATGATTTGTTCTAAAGAGATTATCAGATGGCAGCGCCGAAAAAGCAAAAATGATGGCAAAGAATATGGCAACTAGATACACGGCAGGGTAAATATTTTTAATATTCCTCTCTTCCTCTACCGTAAATATACAGGCTTCCTATTATATTTTGACAGGCTTCCCAAAAAGTGGAGCTACTGCACAAAATGTTCTTCAGCTCGATCCTGTAGTTTATGTGGAGGCAGTTGGAAGATAAGCAGCTAGACTTAACCTCCCATAGCTGTAATTCATCTATTTTGATGCTCGTGGATGTGAAGCTATGAACGGGGAGTATCCGAGGTTATAGACGTGAAATGTCAGTCTGTATGTGCATTGATAATCATGATTAGACATGTCGAAACTTGCAAAATTTTGCTATACTATTCGGTTACTAAAATCTTCTCTAGTCGTTGGGTTTATTCATTTCTGCATAATTCTTGGCAACCGTCGTACTTTTAGTCTCTGTAGATTGAGGAGAAAAAGAATAAGAAACGAAAACAACAATAAACTACATTTTGGGTCTTCGTCAAATTTCAAAATGATAGCTCTACTGCTTCAAGAAAACATAAATATTTGAAATCCTTAACAGCTACTATTGTAGAGAAGAATAAAGAACACGCTAAATAGGATACTTTTTATAACTCCTAATAGAGCATCTCTATCCTTAAAAACTGATGTATATGAAACACATAAGATTCACTACAGGGGTTTTAAGGTAATAACCCTCATTTTCTGCTAATTTGGATTTTGAGTAATCACTGCTCCTATTACAGTCAAAACATAGATTCAACACAACCTGACGAGTTTGTGCTTCATGCAAATCAAATCACCTACTGCTGTTTCCTCTTCTTGGTACTGGTTTATAGAGCACCACAGTAACAAATTTCGAACGGAAGCGATTAGTAACCCCGAGCGCCACCACTGATCGAGGAGCTTCTCTATCCTCAATATAAACATGATTTAGAGTGACATTTTGTGGGTACGGGAGTGGTGCATGAGGATCTTCATTTGTCGGGTGGTTTAGCACGGTATGCTGCAAGTGAGGGGGTAGTGAAGGTGGTTCTCGCTCTTCGTCTTCGTTTCCCGGGTACACATTGCTGTAACTTGAATCAGGTGACATCACAACGTCGAACCCTGCAACAGTAACTTGATCCTGCATTGAAATTTTACCTTTAGAAGCAGTTTAATCGGAGCTGGGGAATTGATAGTGTGTCAGCTTACTTCTTGTTCACCGGAAGGTTGGTTCATTTTCTAAATGTGATTTTGTACAACTCTATTTTATGGCAGATGAAGCTTAGCAGATCTGAACTGCCTGGAAGTAATATGAATGTGTGCTGTAACAATAAACTCCGCAGCAGCACAAGGAGATCAGTAAGCATAAAAAATATCCAGTAGAACTTGAATAAAATAAATTTTAAGCATTCATATGGTAATTAAGAAAGTGTGATTTCATAGTTTAGATATGCAGTGAAGCGCGTAAAAAATCATCCATGCTCTGAATTCACGAGCAACGTACGAATAGTCATAAAAAACTTGATTCTCAAAGAATACAAAGAACTTGTACTCAATCAAAGAGACTCGATTTTTTTTCAGTACACCACCTATGTTAACACAACTTAATCCTAGTGCTAGAGAGAAATTTAAAAGTAGCAAAAGAATACTCACAATAATTAATAAGTAATAACAATAAAAAAAAAATAGGAAACTAATAACAGAGTATGACCGAGAAGGGAATTTACTTTAGGCTTTAGGATGGTCCCTAAAGGCCATATATGTCTAGTTTTTGTAGGTTGCATCAAGTTCAGGGTTGATGGTCACAGAAAAAGATTTAAAAAACTACGTAAAGAAAGAAAAAAAGGCTAAATAGATGCCAAATCTAAGTTGAATGTATCATTAGTTTAACAAGCTTAAATAGAGATGTCTTGCAAGAGAAGCTAAAAGATAAACAATTCAAAACTGAATAATGTACAAGCATTTATAATCCTTATCCCCTACAACACCATATTGTCTCATCAGGATTGCCTGAGACGGATGATGAGTCGATGAATCAGTTTCTTCAGCGAGATAAGCACAACGTGCACAGAAGAATCCAACAAAAAGAGACTCGGATATATAACCAAAGAAATGAGAATAATGCAGAGGAAGCATAGTCATTCTTGTTTTAAACAATAAGAAAACTTGCAAGAGCTGGTGGCCAACCAATAAAGTAATTTTTTTAAATTAAGATTAGCTCTATTTTTTTTTCTTCTCCAAATTGTGTCATAAACCTTGATAAATGGTAGTAAGTTGTATGCTTTAAGGCGTTCAATGAAAGCCTCGTTTAAGATGTCAGTCTCACACTCGTACTAATACAATGCATAGAAGTGATTAATATTATCAAAAAAATTGAAAAGAGGAAACTAAAAAGAAAAATACCAGAATCACAGCCCTTTCTCTAACAACAAGTACACTCCAACAACAAAGATGGCAGCAAATAAAAATCGAAGTCCAGATAATGAAGTGTTAAATGCCTCTATATAGATTATAGATCGTATTCTGACAAAATAATTAAATTATATGACACGAAAAGGAATTCAAACGAGTAGTTATTATCAAAATACTCACTTTTAAATTCCAATTAAAATAATTATTCTATTACATAAACTAAACAGTATAAAAGAAGAAAGAAAAGAGTACCTCACTTCATATCCTTATAGGGTATCCAAATTACATAACTTCCAAAAAAAAGGAAACTGATTATTTAGCCTATGTTTGGAAAATTTATAAATTTGTATCCAAACGGAGGCTTGATATAGAATATTGTTACTAGACTATGAAGTGGGGACACAAAACAATGACAATGAAAGTGGAATGGGGGAGAACAAAACTCACAGGATTTGAACAAAACTCACAGGATGGATCATATTTCCTTAAAAAAGTTTCCTCTATGTATGACTAAATCTTCCTATTTCATTCCACGACATGATTGACAAAACTTCTTGGCAATTAGTTCAAGGGTGAAAAGGAGAAGGTACAACAAATTCTCACCTTTTCAACTTCCACGAAAAATCCAGTGCCAACTCAAAATATCATATACAATTAAGGACAGAGGGATTAACAGTTCGGTAAAATAAAAGACGAAAAGTGTGAAATCGTAAAGTTACAAGCCACACAACTAGAATAATGGGCACTTCATATCTTTATATTTTATCTCTACAGAGATTTACAGTGGCCATATCTAACCAAGGTGACTAATATGAGCACCTCATGCGATTCAAACTATTGCCTGGTGCATTGCACGATTTGCCTTTTACTTTATCCTCCTTATTCAGACCAATTGTGGTGTCAGCAGAAATGAGGCGGAGACTTAGCTTTGAGAAATGGTGTGTACAAGAAGCTCAAAGAAAAGCATATAATCCATAAAGATAGAATTCTTTTTTGGGAGTAAATCCAAGATCCTTCGAAGACATTTAAAGGCCCAAAATAGCCATCTAGAGTCTTTACTAAATGTGAAGCATATTGTGGATCTTAGGATCATGGAACAATTAACATTTTAAAACGTAAGAAATCAAATTTCATCTTTCTTGAAGTTCTACGAAATTTATTTAGGTAGCTGAACTATGACCACCGGATATACTTTAAATGCCGTGCGACTTCTCCCTTTATTGATTTGGCTATCAAAGTTGGATTTCTGTTTTCGAACCCACGTATGTTATGATTTTTTATATTGGTCAACATATTGACTTGGGAAGTGTTTGTGCCAGTCAAGCATGCATCTTCTTGTCTTTCGCAAATCTAAATTTAGAAAACTATAAACTAACTTCAAATACATCTCTATGTGTACACCATGTCTCCAGCAGGTTGAGTGAAATGTACATCAAACACCAGTGCTTAGCCCCAGGAGAGAGTATTATTTCAAGCTAGGACTGGGAAAAATAAGTGCACATCTTAAAATCAAGATAAATCGAAGAGTCATTGGTTCACTAAGACAACTGAAACCATTCACCATACAAGCCAACCTGAGCAGTAACTGATTGGTTCTGCACGAATTCTAATTATGTTAAAAAGGACCAGTTCATATGTATACAACAAGGCATTCTTCTCCATAGATCACACATAGACCAAATTATGGATCAACTCTTAGTTCTGATACAAAATGATATTCATACGAAACCTATATGAGCCCCAACCTCTTAAATAATCCTGAAACTAAACCTGTCGTGAAGTATGCATTCCCTCAACACAGTTGCCAGCGAATATTTTACTACTTTCCAAAATTTTCCCACCTGATCAGTTTATTTAATGATTTGATTTTGGCTTGGTATCAATGTACAAAAGGGCCAATAACACCCCCACAACATATTTATATGAGAAGTGGGCATATAGGCAGAAATCCTTCGGTATATGAACCCAACAAAATCCTCAAGGTCTAGTCCAGACAATTTCCAGATCTATTGCAGTAACAGCACAACGTAGATCTTCTAAAGTACAAAACGAAATCATGACCTCAAGATCAACAATGTTCTCATTCTCTTTGCATTGACTTCTCTCTCATGCAGAGCACCGTGAGTCCAGAAGCCGACATTAGAGTCGTTTCCACACTCAACAACTAATTAGACACTTAATCTTAGTTGTTCATGTACAAAGATAATAACAAGGTAACTACAATGGTGTTGTCGTGAGTAATATTATTATGACCGCATTCAATGGACAAGCCATGAACCATAGTTGTTTGTATTGGATTCATGCTCAATTCTCTTGTTCTCTTATTAGGCAATACATTGAGGGTCTGCAAGGAATTTTGCAAAGGTAGTTTGCATATTCAGCCCTTAACAATCTGAATACGTGTTTAAATAACCAACATTCAACCCTATGAACTTAACCTTGCAAAGATTAATGCGCAAAACTTCACCTGATTCAATAACTAACAACAAATTGAAATGGAGGATCTACATAGGTTTATGTATTATACTAACAATTCAACCCCCATCTCCACCCAAAAAAAAAAAATAGAGGGGGAGAGAGAGAGAGAGAGAGGAAACCCGAGCAACTACTGAAACCACATGGCTAATGGTTATTTCTCTCAGTATGGAGCTTTTTGATTTCTTACCAGTCCATAAATTATGACATAATTTTTTTAAATTTCGAACTCCTATAATTACAAGCTAGCACTGCAAAATTAAAATTTATTTCCAAGAATATCTCTTTCAACCACAATTTCAACCCATCGTCTGTTTGAAAAATGAGATACCCAGTAAGCAAAAAATATCTAAAAATACGAAATTCAAGAAATAAGAGGAAACAAAATTCAAAATCCAAGTCTAAGCTTTAATATTCGGCAAATCCGAAAAATGAAGAAATAAAAATAAAACAGTGAATCTGTAAAATCCATCAAGAATTTAAACCAAGAAAGAAGCAAAATTGACAAGAAATTTTACCTGAAGAATGGATGAACAAGAATGAGACAACTATGAACTCGTCAGAATATAACGAAGAGTAAAAGCAATAAAAGAGATTAAAAAATGTAAAGAAAATTTTCACTTATAGCATAAAAGAGATACATAAATTTTACCTAGTGGATTCCGCCAAATGATTCATGCGTGTTTACGCCATTTGATGTACTGTGAGTGGTTCGAATTGAATAGTAATTTTTTAAAAAACTTTTAAAAAGTTTTGACATAAATTTATGGAGTTGGAACAAGTTAAATTTTGTTCATTCCAAGTCAAAGCGAGTTCTAAATTGACATTAAAGTTTCGTTGATTCAAGAACGTCGAGTTATTATTTATTTATTTATTTATCGTTTACTTTAGCAAACAAGAAGAACAGAATTGTATGAGAGAGTCAAGAAATTTAATGCCGTTTTGTTAAACATGGTTGAATAATTTTTGTACGCTATTACAAGTTGTCTCAATCGAATTTAATTTTCAACTATGTCATATTGGAAAAAGATTTGCTAACAAATTTGAAGGAATTATAGTTAAGAGTGGTTTGGTGTCCTCCATTATAATTTTAAAAGATTATAAATTCTAATGAATTTCGTGATTTAGAGGGTTATTGATTGTCGCCAATTGAGATTTTAATGAATTTTTGTGGATTTAAATAGATTTTCACAAAATCTATAAGAATCTTATTAAAAATTGTGAAAACTGAAAGAGGTTGTTATATGTATTTTTAAGTTGAAAATCATTCAAATATTTTAAAATTTATCTATTAATGAAATCCATATAAATCCACGAGCACCTAGAGTTTAATGAATTTCATTACACCT